TTTAGTTTATATTGGCATAGATTTCTCCTAATTATTGCTTTAAGTAGGTTATTTTTTTTAGAAAATGGCATGTTCTTGATTCTGGGTAACATTAATCTAGTACTGATTTAAATCTATTATATATTAGCTGAAGATTATTTCTATAGTCGGCTGATCACAGTTGATCATTTAAAGCCCAAATAAGAGGCAATTTGAGATTTAAAAGTTGCCTCTTGAATCCTGAGTCAGGATATAAAGGTGAAACTAAAATGAACTGCAACCAGTGCAAAGACATTAAAAATGTAAGAGCTCTGTTGAACTCTTAGTCTGTAGAAGTTGTGATTCTTAATGCAGGGTTGCAGAGCAACTGAGGGTAATCTTGGTTATTCATGTTTTCTTTTGTTGAAACATGTTAAAAAAGAATATAAACAACACCTAAGATGCAGGGAAGGAGATCTTAGAGTTCTTATTGCAAATGTGTTTTATGAGTCTTATTCATTTATCAAAAATCAAAACATAGATTCCTTTTTTTTGTCTTGAAGCAGAAGTCTGTCATTAAGTTGCACCATTAGTAGAATCACAGATTTGCAAGGTAACCGTCAGATAATTTCGGTGCTGAAAAATCAGATAGAGGTGTTCTTAACCCAGACGTTTTACTTTAGACTTTCAAAAAGAGGTAGGCCTTTATACCTTTTGACAACTTGAGGCTCCCAGTATGTGGTAAAAGGCTGATTATATTATGATGCAGGACTTCATAACTGAAAAATAAAAACATTAAGGACACAATGAAATAAAGAGTGCATCTAACTTTCCTCAGTGGACAGGAGTGATGGTTTGAGTTGATCTGTTTTTTATGCAGATGCAAAATAAAAAGCCTCAGCGACAAACCAAATATTAATTCAGTATGCTTTTTTTGATATATTTTATAGTGTCTGATATCAGAGCCATTAAGCAGAACCACTTTAGTGATTTTGACAAATGCAAAAACTTACTGCATTGTATTTTGGAAATAAACCTTTTGAAAGTCACCACCACACATACTATTAAGTTGCAATATATTTATCTCAGTTTTATTTATAGAGCCCTTTAAAAGAACCACAGCTGCAACAAAGTGCTGTGCATTCCAAGTAAAGTTAAAATTGTATAAAAACAACATCGAAGCTTAAATGACTAAAACCAATAAAATAAAGTACATTAATTAAAACAAATAAAACCACATAAAATAAAACAAACCACAAACACTTCAAAGTTTATATCAGTTCCGTCAGTCAAAAAAAAAGGCATTAAAGTAAAGAATATAGTCATTGTACTGTGCTTTTTACATGCAAAAGCCAATACATACCGGACCTAATACCTATAAATAAACAAAATTAAAAGCTATTGCTTTCAGTAATTATTACAGGGCCCAGATTTGTTACCTATTTAAGTCTGTTTTAAGTTTATGGTCACTTTACCCAAACAGATCACCAAAGAGTTAAAGTTGACAGCCTCTCTCAGGTTACATCAGTTTTAATATGAGCTATGAATGTTGATGACGGCCCTCCTACTTCTTTTGTTTTTTTTGAAGGGGAGTTTTGGTACATGTCTGTTTTATAGCTTGAAATAAACAAGCAAATAAATCAATGAGGACAATGTTGGAAGCATCTCTTTGCTGTCACACTTAAATGCCACGTTGTATTGTGAAAAATCCCATGTTTATCTGCTTTATTCAAGTGCAAATGAGCTCCAGATGTTTTCTAAATTACCTGCGTCAGATGCAGAATAAAAACAAATAATGTGAGGGCTGTCAGGGCTGTTTTTGATAGGATTTTAATTTTAGCTTAAATCTTTTTTCCCCAGTAAGTCACTTGGTTGTAATCATGATCAATGCCGTTGTGATGCTTTGTTTCTAAAGATGCGACCAGTCTTTCGTGAGTTATCGAGTGTCTCAAGCATTTTCAGGAACAGATTAATGTAATAAGGGGAAACCCTAGAATATTTCTTGCAGTTTGAATTGACATTTTACCTGGAGTGATACCATGGTCTCCCTTCCCCCTGTGGAATTTTGGTTTCATTTCTCCCAACTGTAATGCCATTTTCTGAGCCTGTATTTTAAAAGGGCAAATGTCATGTTTTTCTTTGTTGTTAAACCACATATTTTCCCCAATAGTTTGAGTCTAAGCTTGGGGAGAGAAGAAAAACATATATTGGCATGTGATGCATTTAAGATTATATATATATTTCCATTACAATCAATACTTGAGACATCTGACCTTTGACTTCTGCCATATTGTTAAGTGTATCTATCGCTAATATACTTTTGTATTGATCTGTTGTGCTTTAACATACTTCTATATGATTTGCAGCAATTCAGGCATTGTACCATTCTTGGTTGATTTTCACCTTAAATTGCCAAAAAGGTAAAATTGAAGTTGCAGTGATAGGCAAACACAGGTTAACCCTTGTCAACCAGGAAAATATTTTCATACTTTCTATAACTTTTCTCCACCAACTTTCCTACAAAAAAAGAGAAAATGCTGTTTAAAATACTCCATTTGGTAAAGATTTTATTTCTTATTTTATTTCTGTCTATCGCTGTAGATAGACGGATCCGTTCAGCTGCTCCTATAATGCCAAAGCTGCAGCGGTCTGTTGTGGTGAAGGGAGAGCAGGCAAAGTTCTTGATTTACCGGTAGGTCTACGTTCCTACCTACCTATGGTTCTGAAATCTGGATCATGACTAAAAGAACGAGATCCCAGATAAAAGTGGCTGAAATGTGCCTACTCGGCACAGTGGCTGGGCTCTCCCCTAGAGAAAGGTTAATGAACTCAGTCATCCAATAGGGGCTCAAAGTAGAGCTGCTACTCCTCCACGCCGGCTCTGACATTTTTGTCTGATGTTTCCTGGACGCCTCCCCGGGAATTGTTCCAGTAGGAGGCCCATGGGATGACCCAGGACACGCTTGTGGGACTATGTCTCTGGGTTGGTCTAGGTGCCTCTTGGGCTCCCAGAGTAGGGCTTGGAAGATGTATCTTAGGAGAGGAGTCTAGGAGTCACTGCTGAGACTGCTGCCCCACGGTCTGGTCCGGATACAAAGGAAGACAATGAGAACTTTTCTTTTCCCATTGGCTCGAGCGTGCTTTACCCCTGATTATCTCACTACGTAAGCTAAGTTTAATCAGATTTTATGTTCAGATCTTCAAAGGTTTTTTTTACTTTGTTTATAAGTGTATTTACATCTGCTTAAAGATTCCAAACTACCAATACAGAGGGATTAGTACACTATGGAGGTTTTGTTAAAATCTTTGACTTGAAAACCCTCAAAGAACTTTTACATCCCCATAAGGCGTTAAGTCTTGACATCGATCCTGCAGGGAAGAAAAGGGCACAAATCAAACTTAAATGAGTGAACTAATGTAATATAGTGTGCCATAGTGTATAAGGCTGCTTATACGTGTCAAGTGTAGACCCGCTGAGTCCCACTAGCACACTGACCTTTTATTCATTTGGTGGGAAGACACAGGGGGCCTTAATTAGTTTCACAATAACACGTCTTCTAACCCTGCTCAGGCAGAAGGTTGCACTTATTCCTCAGTATACATACAGTACGTGCTCTGTGGGTCTACAGTATGGTTTTGTAACATTGCCTGCAAAAAGTTCACCTTTCTGTGGTGTTATAACATACACATTGAGGCGAGTGGTGTAAAACAACCGGCAGTGCTGCAGTGATAGAGACCGTTAAACACATTTTCTTTGTAATTATATTCTGCTTTCATATAAAAAAAAGGAAAAAGGGAGTGCACAAAGTTAAAGACCACAAGAACTGCTTCAATGGGACCATTCTGGAAGGAAACACGGCTCAACACAGAATCATTGATTTAGAGGGTTTTTTCGATTGTAGGGTAAAACAGAGTAAGTACAGTGTTTATTGCAGACTGTAGCTCTTTCAGTGGCATTGTTCAGGAGGGAGATACTGCTTTACAGAAAAGCACTGAATGAGGCGTTATTTCTGTTAACAAGAAAAAAATGCAATAAGGCAAAGGCTGTAATATCATCATACAGTGAAGAAACTGCCACAATGAGCCAGGGTTACTTTCTATAGGCAGGGAAAACGAAGAATGCACTAGGGCACTAATAGCTCTGTGAATAGCACCAACCAGGATTGAGACGCAGCTAAATAAGGAGAGGTGAGCCAGCAGTACTATGTATGGCAAAGGGAAACAAAGAGGGTACATGAGGCTACTGGCAACCATACTTCTGTCAGTGGCACCATCTGAGAAAGATAATGCAGAGGCAATGATCCAGCAGTACCTCAAATTAAGAAAAACTGGGAGGCGCCCAAAGTTAATGGTGAGAATAGCAGTAACAGTAAAGTGCAATCAGTGTTCGACCTGGATCAACATAATTTTAGTTGTCTCGTTTCACTGGGGGGAAAAAATGGAAGAAAACGTTGGCTACTCACAAAGGGTTGAGAGCTCCAAATGAGAAGCAGTCATTTCCCCTTTAATGTTCTTAAATGCAAGCCCACCTCCTTGAGTAGGGGACCTGATTCTGGCTCATTAGGAGCTGCAGGATGGATCCACACTGTCTGCATTGCTTGACATCTGGTGACCCGACAGAAGGAGTTTCAGGTGGCAGTGGCTCACTGCTTGTTCAATATTTAATTTGCACAGCAGGGATCCTAAGCTGTATTCTCATGGTTAATGGTGTGTGTCAGAACAAGCAACATAAACCACAAATCAATGGTTACTTTACTGCATTTTCCTGTTTATCTCTTTGCTCACTAACTGCATCAGTGTTAACATCTCTTATTATGCTGTTGACAGTAAAATGAATTCATTTTTGTGATATTTATGGGTGAATCTTGATTTGTATTGAAAAAGAAATGCATAAAAAAAGCAATAAATGTCGAAAATAAATCCTAGTGAAGTCTAACAAATCTGGTTACAGCTATGGTTGTTCAGGATCGTCCATCTCTTAAATTACGAGTATAAATTTGTAATCTAGGACAGAATTACATGACTTTTGTGTCCTTCCACAGATGAAGACGGTTAGTGTTGCTCTGGTATTGTGTCTCAATGTGGGAGTGGACCCTCCTGATGTGGTCAAGACATCCCCATGTGCCAGGCTGGAGTGTTGGATAGGTGAGTGAACCTTCCCTGTTATCATTCTTAAAAATGAGAAAAATCATCTTTTAAACGCAGCTTGAAGAGATTCCAAGAAATGCACAAATACACAATGAAACAGTTTTTGTTTATATTTTTACTACCAAACACATGAAGAAGAAATAAAAAGTGAACAGACATTTTAAATTATTTTCATAAGCTTCATTTGGATAACATGAGAGACTTGTCTGACCAACAGACAACAGATATTACAGGTATTTGGCCTATATGTCTATGACTGTTGACTGTAAAAGGCTCCCTTTGACATTTGAATACATGGGGAAGTTACGACATCATGTTTGCAGCCAAAAAATATGAACTAGTCTTTCTTTTGTGTGTGTTTTGTTTTCATGCACCGCTCCACTGATATGTCTAAAGTCTGTATAAATGCAGGAAATGTCTAGCTGCATGATTTATCTGTAGGCTTTGAAACTTTGAGCCATTGCTCCTCGCCATCTTTGCTCTTTCGGAGTATTAAGTTGACCTGAGTGGGCGTTGGTTCGGTATCTCTTAGTTAAGATGATATCCGCAACCCACACTCTCACCAAATTGGTGCGCCCAGGCTAGCTGCTGGGGTCACTTTAGAGATGCTTCCTCACTTTTGAGTCCAACAAACTGGTCAACTAAAAAGCCGTTTAGATTTTTTTTTTTACCTCAGTCTGAGAAATTTACAACCCTTAATATCAATGGGTTTTGTTGAATGTTTTAAAGTAAACCAACAAAACCAAATACATAATTGTGAAGTAAAAATTAAATGATGCAATTTTATTTACCTCCATGAAAAGGGTGAAAAAACATTTGCATTCACCGCTTTGTCTCTGAAAGAGCTAAATATAATCTCACCCAGCCAACTTCCTTCCTAAGTAAATTGTCTTCTTAATGTGGTCCAGCTGTGTGAATCTGATGTCAGTTCTCTGAAGGCCTCAACGGTGTGTTACAGGACATTAGTGAACAAACAGCATTGAGGAACCAGTCAAGGAGAAAGTTGTGGTGATGTTTAAAATGCAGTTTAGAGAGCAGCGTAAGATGTTCAATCCATTACCCAAAGACAGCGGCAAACAGGGGCAAGTGCCCCGGTAAAATTGGTTCCAGTTATGCCCCCTGTATTTAAGACAAAATGGTAAATCAGATTTTTATCATGATATGCCCTGGATCAGAAACTGTCACTTCTAGGTCAAATTAAACTATTAGTCATGTTTACAAATTTTGGCTATCAATTATTTCAAGTGTCCCGATTAAAATTGAATATTGCTCTGATATAAGCCAAAAAAATAATATTCCAGCCTGCATCTAAAATCTCCAATATTGTCATGCTGATAGAAACACTGCTTCACTTTAAAGTTGCTGCAAACCAATGATTAATACTATACGGGTCAATTGTTCTCATACCTATTTTTGTAAAGTATTGTTCTCCGTTTTAGTAATATCACTTGATCAAGCATTTTCTTACAGTATACGTTATCAAATGAGTAATAAAAGCATGTATGATTCATAAAAATATTGTATCAGGACAAATATCTGAATCGGTCCATTCTTGTGGCTGCAATATTTGTATCTTATCGGAAATAAAAAAGTTAGATCTGGTAATAAGCTTCATATGAGGATAGAATCACAGATTTTAGACCCCCGGTGCAAGCTGCAGCCTCCGATGCCACAGTAACTACTACTACTCCATCAATTAGTGCCCTGTTATTTATTCCTTTTCATTCCATTTCTCTGTTCTGTCCTCTCATAAACAAACACCAGCCCCACTCTTGCCCCCCTGTTAGTTTTGGTCACGACCTTGGTGTCCTAAATGGTAGTTATGGCCCTGCTCATGGGTCTCAACAAAGCCCGACGCGCACGCCCAGAAAATCTGACATAAATCACTCTTTCACTATCTAACAAATATACATCTTTGAATCCAGTTTTTTTTTTTTTTTACATTTTTTTTTTTGGGTCATTGAATAAGGTAATATAACGTTATATAAGTTTATTTTATGGCTGCAACTAACGATTATTCTAACAATAATTTTTTTCATTTAATCAAATAATAATTGGATAGCAAAAGATTGAGAAGATTTTTTTTGTAGAATTAAAACTAAAACTTTTCCACTTTAGTTAGTTATTGTCATATTGGAGTTATTGTCAGAAGACAAAATATTTATAAATGTTTGTACAATTTTGGTATAATCTATGTGGTTTGCTCTGTCAGCTAAAGGAATGTTTTAGTTTCTATAGTCCAGTTAATGATTAATCGATTAATAAATTAGTTGACGATTATTTCAAATATCGAATAATCCAGCAAATTTTTTTTAGTGCTAGCTGATTTATAAGGCATATTTTTGAAGATTTTTAATGCTGTTTAAAACAACTTAACTAATCTTTCATTTTTCTTCAGTTTTTCTGTGCCTACCTCATTGTTATAGACTTGAGTTGCTGATCTCATATTGTTTTTAAAAATTATTTCAATATAGAATTGATATCTGCATATGTGATAGTATTGTGCAGCTGGCCTGTGTGTACATGCTTGTATGTGTGTATGTGTGTAAGTAAGAGACTGCATTGTGGTTTGACTGCGTTTGTTTTTCCTGTCAGATCCTCTGTCAATGAGTCCACAGAAAGCCCTGGAGACCATCGGGGCAAACTTGCAGAAGCAGTATGAAAACTGGCAGCCCAGGGTGAGTGGAAAAAGCCTCTTCATTTTACTGGGTGTTAGCCAGAGCTACGTTGGCCACACACACATACTCGTTCTGCTATATCTAGTGAGGACCATGTGTTTGACTCCGATTGACTTCCAATTATTTTCAGTCATTTTCAACCCTTTCTATGACCTAACCCTAAACCTAACCATTAAGAATGCATACCTCACCCTAACCCAATTGACGCCTTAGCCCTAAACCTAACAGTTAGCAAAATAGCTTTTGAGGACCAGCAAAATGTCCTCACTTTGTTACAACTGCTCCTTAATCTGATGGGGAAATTGGAAAAATTGTCCTCACTCTATGGCTAGACAGCTACACATACACACACAACAATGGTTTATGTTGTTTGAAATATCAAGCTGAATTTCCCTATCTCTCAGTAATGCTAAATCGCAGCACAAAAACTTTTAAACTCTGTCTTGTATTGTCTCTTTTTATCAAGCATGCTCATCATTATTTGGATATTTAATCCTCTCTACCATCTCTCATAAATGTGTAGCTAATTTAAAAGATTTATTAAGGTCTGAGATCATCAACAGGCAATTTTTTTTTTTTTATTTTAGACTAAAGACTATCCATGCAATTTTTGTCAACAAAACTGAATTGATAATTTCCCCCCATTTTATTAAACCTTTGGTTGGTGAAAGCCCTGTTTTCCCTCTGTGACTGTTTCAAAACAGATTTCAAATGCAGTTTAAAGTTGATGCAAATATGGCTTCACAATTAATTGCATCTGGAAAATATTTGCAACGTGTATAAGAAATGTCAAATTTCAAACCACATTTTTGGTCTTTAACAAGAGTATGACACTAACTTTCTTCCTCCAGTGCTTTAGATGGAAGTAAAGGGATTGAACTGGGTTTTTAATCACAAAGAAGGGAGGAGACCGTTGTTGCTAGTGTGCAGCGCAATGGATGGGACTTAAAAATAAACACAACGATGTGGTAAGATGCAACAAGGGAGTCTTGACAAGAGGGCATTTAAGGCCATGAAAACGTTACCACCCTAAAGCTAAACATGTTAAAACTTGTAGTAACTGCAGAGGAAAACAGAAATTAAAATAGCAATTTTGGTTAAAAACAAGTTTTTGCAAAGCCACATATAAGCCTAAATCTCAGATTTTGGATTTCAGGTTATTAAGGTTGTGGTGTGTTTCCTGCTCTAGCGTACACGTAGTAAATGTTGGGTGTCAGTGCAGGCTTTCATGAATGAGGCAGTTTTTGGTCCACTGCTGATTCCGTTACACTGCAAGTTCAGTAAAAAGTCTAAAAATGTAAAGAAACCCTGAAACCATTTAAAGTAATAGCTGTATAATATTTAAAACTATAAAATGGTCATACTTAAAACATTAATAGTGCATCTTACAGCCAAACTAATAGTTTTCTACTATTTTCCCTGGTATCTGAGTTCAGTGTCCCTGATGATATTTAAGGCACTCTAAAATATTCCACTAAATGTATATTTTCCATGGAGTAAGATAAGAAAACATTTTCCTATCTGCATTGTATCTTTCCCACCACTATTACTGACTAAAGAGAATTTTCAAATGTTTGATTATATCCAATCACAAAGCTTTTGTATCATCTTGTTGGGCGTGTTTCTGAAAGCCGTGCGGCTGACCAATAGAAATAAAAATGAAAAATCCAATCAAGAGGGAGGCAGAAATGGAAACACGTGACTCTTTGGTGTGATGGTTCAGAAGAAATACATAAGGTAAGAGGAGGTGGAGGAAGAACGACTCCAGAGACGGAGCCGGGAAAGAAATGTTAGCTCGGGTTCGGTTGAACCGAGAGGTCAGCAGCAAATGGTGGTAGGAGCCCAGCAGCAGGAGGAGGAGGAGTGGGAGGGTGAGAAAGCTGTTCCTGTTTCCAGCCTGAGGATTCAGAGCTCTGCAGAATCACGACGGAGAGCAGATTTCGCCAACACACCTTACATAAAGTGTTTGAGAAAGTAATCAGTTATGCTGTGGTTATTAATCGCTTGTCACAGATGGGTAAATTCTGTAGTGGTAAATAATTGTGCATGAGTCGGGTCGGTAAATATTTTACCTGACAGGAAATTATCATGCATTGTTTTTGCACATTTCTGTGTACTGCCTGTAGCGTTTATCGGTAACAGCGGCGTTTGCGACGGCTGAGTCGCCCAGAGAGTTTAGTTGCCTGCTCCGCTGTCACAAATCTATGTCTGTTTGCTTCAGCAATCGGAGATTCACTCTCATGGCCAGAAAGCAGAAAGAAAAACAGTCTCCATCCCTGCTGCCCACACACTTTTTTCCAACTCTTCCTCTCGCTCATTCTTCCCTCTTTGTTGCTGATCTTTTCTCATCATTATTTATTCCACAACATGAGAATATTTTATTTTGTGTCTTAAGTTGAGAACAAATGTTTTTTTTACTCTTTTATATCTACAGCTTATTTTTTTTGTTTCTTGCTTTATCACACAGTAAAATTATTTTTCCTAATTTTTAAGACATAATTCATACTTTATAAGTAATGATTTGAAAACAAATTATAGCTAATATTCATACTTTTTTATAGTTAAAAATTGTATACCAGTACTTAAGGATTATAGAGACATAATATATAGATTGCCATTGATAAAATGTCATCAGAATTCATTCACAACTAGAGATGCCATAACAGTTTTTTTTTTGTTTTTCAAACTTACCAAAACATATTTTTATAACAATTTCAATGAGGACTTTGACATGAAGTGTTGGAAGAAGAAGAGCATCTATTTAAGGGAGCATTCATGATGAAATGGGGTCTAACCAGTTAATATTTAACTTTTTGTTAAATTTTTATTGGTCTGTTGACCAATAATGATACTGGAGCTAGAAATGGGTTGGCTGTAGGGGTTCTGAAGGCAATATTTTTATAAGATATCTACCTATATAGATAGATGGATGGATAAATGGATAGATATACTCAGGGTTCCCATTGGATAAATGTGATCTCAGAACTATAAAGCGGAGGATGACCATTTCAGGTTTTCATCCCTTTTTCACTGATCCATATCTCATGGTATAGCTGAGGGTCAGATCATAGACAAGTTGGTAAATCAAAATTTGTCTCTTAAGTCAGCTTTCTTTATCACCATAGGCCTGAACCAAAACGTTCTCCCTGCCCTTATCCATCCATCCATCCATCCATCCATCCATCCATCCATCCATCCATCCATCCATCCATCCATCCATCCATCCATCCATCCATCCATCCATCCATCCATCCATCCATCCATCCATCCATCCATCCATCCATCCATCCATCCATCCATCCATCCATCCATCCATCCGGACTTCATTCATTCAGTTTTATTACCTTTGCCTTTATTTTTACTTTATTATGAAGCTGAAACTGCTCCTTATAATGTTAAAAAAAAGCATTTGCAGTGTCTCAGCTTTCAGGTTATCTCACCATTTCTTTTGTATTCTTCTTCAAACTGCCTCGCTGCTTTCTCATTCTCTTTAAAGCCTTACTTGTTCACTTTCATATTATCAGTGTCTGTCATCACCCTTTTTTTCTGTCTCAGTGCTCTGTTATTTGTTTTGGGAATCCTGTTTGAAACTCTTTCCTCCACACTTGTTGGTTGTTATCTCTTAAGATGAAATGCGACAAGCTTGTCTTGTCAAATTGCCGTCTCAAAGCCAACACTGTGTGGCTAAATTGCTGAACATGTTGCAGCTGCCAAGCAGGTTTAATCCGAGTTATTTTTTTCTGTATTTATGGGGTGGCTGTATTCAGCTCTCCTGCTTGGCTGCAGTCTGAAAGCCCCTGCTGTCTTCTCAGCTAACGGCCTCTGCATTATGTATCATTGAGCTGGGCCTCAAACGGTTGGCCTCTGCATGCATCTGAGCATTTTTCATCATCCACAGAAACACCATATTGAGATGCTGAGATCTGGTGTAAGATTTCATTTTGGCTTATGATGATGCAATAAAGCTGATACTGTGTTTAGTGTAAAAACACAGTATTTAATTATTATCATGGCTTTGCTTATTGGATGGGATGCACTTTATGTGTATTTTAAATTATCATACAGGTGCTGGTCATAAAATTAGAATATCATGAAAAAGTAGATTGATTTCAGTAATTCCATTTAAAAAGTGAAACTTGTATATTATATTCATACATTACATACAAACTCATATATTTCAGATGTTTATTTTGTTTAATTTTGATGATTACAAATGACAACAAATGAAAATCTCAAATTCATCATATCAGAAAATTAGAATATTGTGAAAAGGTTCAAAATTGATGGCCCCTGGTGCCACACTCTAATCAGCTAATTAACTCAAACCACCTGCAAAAGCCTTTAAATGGTCTTTCAGTCTAGTTCTATAGGCTACACAATCATGGGGAAGACTGCTGACTTGACAGTTGTCCAAAAGACGACCATCGACACCTTGCACAAGGAGGGCAAGACACAAAAGGTCATCGCTAAAGAGGCTGGCTGTTCACAGAGCTCAGTGTCCAAGCACATTAATAGAGAGGCGAAGGGAAGGAAAAGATGTGGTCGAAAAAAGTGTACAAGCAAGAGAGATAACCGCACCCTGGAGAGGATTGTGAAACAAAACCCCTTCAAAAATGTGGGGGAGATTCACAAAGAGTGGACTGCAGCTTGAGTGAGTGCTTCAAGAACCACCACACACAGACGTATGAAAGACATGGGTTTCTGCTGTCGCATTCCTTGTGTCAAGCCACTCTTGAACCACAGACAGCGTCAGAAGCGTCTAAAGAGAAACAGGACTGGACTGCTGGTGAGTGGTCCAAAGTCATGTTCTCTGATGAAAGTAAATTTTGCATTTCCTTTGGAAATCAAGGTCCCAGAGTCTGGAGGAAAAGAAGAGAGGCACTTCATCCACGTTGCTTGAAGTCCAGTGTAAAGTTTCCACAGTCAGTGATGGTTTGGGGTGCCATGTCATCTGCTGGTGTTGGTCCATTGTGTTTTCTGAGGTCCAGGGTCAACGCAGC